CAATCATACGTGATGGCGAAACTCTGGAATATGTAGAATCGTTCACGTACCTGGGAAGCATCATCGATGGACAAGGAGAATCAGATGCAGACGTAAAGGTGAGGATTGGCAAAGCAAGGGCCACATTCCTACAATTGAAGAACATATGGAACTCAAAACAACTTTCAACCAATATCAAAGTCAGAATCTTCAATACGAACGTCAAGGCAGTTCCACTGTACGGAGCTAAAAGTTGGAGAACTGCTGCAACCATCATCAAGAATTTACAGGTATTTATAAATAGTTGTCTACGCAAGATACTCAACATCCATTGGCCGGATACCATCAGCAACAGCCTTCTGTGGAAGAGAACAAGCCAGCTTCCAGCTGAAGAGTAAATTAGGAAAAGACGATGGAAATGGATAGGACATACATTACGCAAATCGTCAAACTGCACCACGAGACAAGCCCTAACTTGGAATCGTGAAGGAAGGAGGAAAAGAGGGAGGCCGAAGAACACATTACGTCGGGAAATAAAAGCAGATATGGAAAGGATGAATAACAACTGGAAGGAGCTAGAAAGGATTGCCCAGTACATGGTTGGATGGCGAATGCTGGTGAGTGGCCTATGTTTCTTCACGAGGAGTAACAGGCGTAAGTAAAGGAGAATTAATTAACACCATATGGCAATGAGTCGAAAAAAAAACAGGCTTCAGCAAGTAGTATGAGTACAGACCAGTTATAAGTATAGACACAGTAGAAATTGTTTCATTACTCTATCTTTGAAAAAACAGAAGTTTTATCTAGTTTTTTTGGAATCGGAAAACTGCTTTCAACTCTTTCAGTAGTAGGTGAACTTGAGGCAGTCAGATATAATGGTTAGATCGACGAAACACTACACCTAATAACCTTATAATCTCCACGAGTAACACTTCTCACGTTCCTTTATCATCTCGCACCGCTAGTGCTAACGATTCGACTACGCGGAACGTTATTCCTGAACCCCTGAAACTAGGTTCTAAACTACATGTAAAAGCTTTTACAGTCCGAACACTGTGCCAAATAGGACAACAGGCTTCCTTAGCTACGACTTTAGGATCTCACGCCATGTATGCTGCGTCTCCTAAACGCGTACACAGGATCAGAGTAGCAACGTCCATTTGACCTCACCATATCAAAATAAAGAACCATCTCGATTACACACTTCGTGTATCTCGAAGCCCCGATGCTGCTTCCCGTAGCCTCGCTGGCGTAGGTATAGCATTGAGTCCTAGGGTAGAACTAGCTCTTTTAGACTGGATCTCAGTAGACAGTCGTTTATAAAAGATGAGTTTTACAGAAAGCTTTCCAACCTCCCAAAAGTTAGGCGCTCCAATGTAGTAATAGAGGCTGGTGACTTTAATGCTCAAGTAGGTAAACTAAGCAAAAAGGAAAGACACCTGAGTGAATCTTATGGTGTCGTGACTCAAAGAACAGGTAATGGCGACCGTCTGTTGCAGATATGCCCAGATAACCGCCTCTTTCTTGCAAATACTATAAACATAAGGAAAAACACATTTTGGCATGGCAACCCCCGAATTCGTCCCAACGTTGGACCCAAATAGATCACATTGCTATCAACCACCGATAGAGGAGCTCGATAGAAGACTGTCGGTCATTCTGGGACATATGATTGGATTCAGATCATGTTCTAGTGCAAGCGCGTATTTGTCCGCGTCTTACTGAACGTAGGAAAGACACTGCAAGGAAACCTCTTACGGTCCTACTTAATGATAGCCAAGCTAAGAATATATTTCAGGAACAACTAGAAAAAGTTCGGCAGCCATGTAAGTCATGCCCATCCCGAGGCAGCGTGGAATGATATCCGGAAAGCTGTGGAAACAACAGTGATATCTGCTAGTAAGGTAAATGTTAGCGGGACATAGACCGGATTAAAGCATGCTCAACTCACGATTACTTTGGTGCACGCTGATTGGCTAATTCTTATCCAATCGGCACTAGTCGATAGTTGGGGAATACTCTAGAATCTTCTAATGTAAAAAAACTATAAATATACTGACGTTTTCTCTATTGTGCTTCTGGCTTGCATCTTAATTCCATCTAACCTTGTTATTTGGAATATAATCTCTTTCCTGTTCAACCATGTTCTGATTTGGGGTCTTGTCGAGTGATTAAGTGTCCAAGAATACTAAGCAATAGGAATAGCTGGGTCATAACCGTAAGGAAGAGATTATAACAGCAAACCATAAGGTTAAGGAGAAACACGGGATCTCAGCAGCATCCACCGCACTGATAGATGCTCAAGAACTCGTCCCATCTGGCTCTGAACATGACGAAGAGCGGAGTCAGCTTAAGCGCAGGCTGGCAAGAAGCCTACGCAGTGATCGTGAACAGTGGTGGGTAGCGAAAGCAAGAGAGATGGAAAAGGCTGCGGCAATAGGTAATAGCAGATAATTGTTCAGACTTGTCAAGGAAACCGGTGTTAAGAATCCAACTGTTAGCGAAACTATCTCAGAAAAAGATGGACATATTATTCATTCTCAATCCAGGAGATTGGATCGATGGGCAGAACACTTTAAGGATCAGTTCAACTGGCCTTCAGCCATACTTCGGTTTCTCACGATCTCCAGTCGACCTGAAGGTGAAGTTAATGTAAGTCCTCCGACTCTTTACGAAGTTGAAAAAGCCATAGGAAATCTGAAGCGAGGGAGAGCAGCAGGCCCTGACAGGTTTATCCCTGAGATTTATAAGGATGGAGGTCCAGTATTAGCAGTGAGATTAACTGAGGTCTTAGGTAGAATTTGGGAACTGGACGTAATCCAATCTGACTGGTCTCAATCACTGACTATGCCAGTCTATAAGAAAGGACAAAAGTCCTCTTGTGACAATCACAGCGGAATCAGCTTAACTAATATGGTGTCTAAAATATTAGCTTCGATAATACTTCAACACCTAACTAAGGCTCATGAAGAGCAGACTAAAGAAAACCAGGCTGGTTTTCGACCTGGACGTGACTGTACAGACCAGATATTCACACTACGTCAGGTTCTAGAACACACACATTCAGACACCCCACAATAGCAGTACTTCTTGACCTTAGGGAGGCATTTGATTCTGTTGATCGTGAGGTTCTATGGCAGTGTTTGTCACTAAAAAGAGTACCAAAGAAGTGAATTAACCTTAAACAGGCTCCCTACTCGAACACAACGGGTCGAGTGATAGCTTATGGCGAACTGTCATCAGAATTGATTGCCTAAATTAGTGTTCGTCAAAACTGTCCACTCTCTTCATTCTTGTTTAACTTTGTCGTTCACGTGCTTTTAGAGATAACACTTTCCTCATCTAAATTTACAGGGGTTGAACTTCTACCGGGCGATTCACTTGTTGACTTGAAATATGCCGATGACATAGTTCTATTTGGTGAAGACGCTGAAAAAATGCAGAGTCTTCTGACCACTCTAAGCAACAATGCAGGCATGTTCGGGATGCGATTCTCCCCCTCGAAGTGCAAAATGTTACTTCAGGATTGGGTTGCATTGACATCCGAACTAATGATAGGGAGTTTCATCAGCCCTTGTGGTCTGGTATGTGACAAATCTCAGCATGGATACAGAAGGCTCGACCAACTTTTGCCAACTTGCGTCATTTATGGCGTGGGCGAGATATCCGTCTATCAACCAAAGGACGTGTTTACTGCGCAGCAGTTCGTTCCGTCCTACTTTATGGCAGTGAAACGTGGACGGTAAGAGTAGAGGATATTCGTAGGTCACTAGTATTCGATCATAGGTGTCTTCGAAATATTGCTCGTATATCCTGGGACCATTGAGTATGTAACGCAGTTGTTAGGAAACGGGTACTAGGTAAGGATGGCAAATCAATTGATGACGTAGTGAAACTTCATCAGTTGAGATGGCTGGGACATGTGTTACGTATGCCCAGTCACCGACTGCCCCGACGAGCGATGTTTTGTGGTGTAGGAATAGGTTGGAAGAAAGCTAGAGGCGGCCAGAGCAGAACATGGCACAAGTCCATGAAGTCACTGACAAGTGGACTGAGTCATGTTGGTAGGTGTAGGACTATCTGGTTGGGGTCCGCGAGACGATAGCAACAGATGTTTAGAGACCTTGAACGACATGGATCGAAATCGTTTGCGGTGAGGCAGGTGCGTCCACTCTTTGTGTCCTCCTAAATTCTAATCTTCTAAATTCTTTATGTTCCTTTTTTCTCTTTCCAAATTTATTTCACTGGATTATACTCCTTGAATAACATCTTCAAACCCTAATCTTTCCGATAACTACTTATACTTTTTCTACCTCTACCACTATGGGATTCGGATCGACAACTGTATCTTTGTGCTAATGTGGTATGACAACTTGAACTGATGTACGTGCGCACGTATGTGCGAAGTTCTACGTTGTTGCTGACTGACTCACTACAACTATCATCAAAAAGGTAAAGGGATTTATAAACAGTTGTCTATACAAGATACTTCAGATTCGTTGGCCAGACACTATCAGCAACGACTTACTGTGACAGAGAAAAAACCAGTTTCTAGATGAAGGAGAAATTAGGAAAAGATAGGGAACGCTCTGAGGAAATAATCAAACTGCATCACGAAACAGGCTCTAGTTTGGATACCTGAAGGAAGAAAGGCAGACCAAAAAAACACACTGCGCCAGGAATCGAAGGTATACATCAAAACGAAGAATAGCACTTTGGTAACACCTTGAATGGAGAGACCGTAACAGAGCTGATCGGATATCCCTGGTCGGTGGCCTATGCTCCACGAGAAATAACAGGTCTACCTGAGTAAGTACTGACAGTTATTATTTCACTGTCATTTATTTACCGCCCATACTTTTTAATAAAATAAACAGTAAACAATTGTATATTCCTGTGTTTTAATACAATCTAAAAATCAATCACATAATACATTGACAATTGTTAAAAAATAATATTTACAACTATGAATATGCATATATATATTAACCAACAAACAAATAGACAGAATATAATCCTACCTGATAAATGGTCTGAAGAGAGTCCATAAAATTTTTATACCAGTAGTAGGATGTACAATGTAAAGTGTTTTCAAATTTTTACGAAAACTGGAGAGAGAGAGAAAGAAAAGGCAATAATAAAATCTTTTTAAATAAATTATATGGATCTGATAACGTCAACCTGAAACTAATATTATGAAATATGAGAAGATTATCATTAACTTAATTAATTAGGGTATTTAATTTTCAAATATTACGTGTTGTATTTTTGAACTCGTCTAGAACTAATTTTTTTAGTAATATAGACTTGATGTAATTAATCCCTAATGTAATCATTTTACATAATTCAACAATTTCATAAAGGGTACTCTCTACTACTGATAAAGTAAATATCAATGAATTAACGGAAATAATATATCACCATTCAATGGATAGTTGGATAATTGACGTGCTAATCTGATTATATGTGACTAGTAGGCATAAATTGCAGTATTACGTTGGGTTACGGTTTATTATTTTTGAAAGGAAGTGATAACAAGGAATTAAAAATATATAGAACATAAGTCTTCGAGGTATAACTTCCAAGCTATGGGATTAGCATTAAATCCAACGTCAAGAATTTCGAACAATATAAATGAAGACATTAAGAAAAGACAAATATTTACCAAAATCCAGATAACGAGTTCCTAATAGGACGAAACGCGCGTTGTGGATTCCACTGCTAGCTAAATTCTATCTGTTCTATATCCATGGAATAACATTTCCTGCCATTATTAAGATATATCTCAGTAATCTACCAGACCAATAATAACTACTCAGAGGGAGAAGTTAGAAGGAATTCAGAAATACCCGAATAAAACACATAATGTACAACTAACAAAGCCTTCTGTTAGTAAAACGAAACATGTCAAGTATTTATAATAGTGAGATCATTAGTAAATCAAGATTCAGTGATCTGAGGTGGTAGTCAATGACATGATTTGAACCCTCGATTTACTACTATATCTTTAAAGATATTGATTAACTATGAACCAAGCCTAATTTTTTCCCTCTTCTATGAGCTCATCAGATTACTACTACTAAATGGTCTAAAGGTAACGAACTCATCGTAAACACTTCAAGTCACTGATTTGGGCTATGGAAAGAACAATTGCACACTAGCGAGGAGTAACATTTCAAGATCCAATAGTTATTCAGTGCTCCGTGATTTGTAAAAATTCTATTGTCGCTATCAATCGGAGATAAAAACCAACTCCAACGTAAACTAATCTACAAAAACTATAGATAGACCGAATTATTCACCATATTTATCCGATTCCAAATGAAAATAAGCATCGTTTATAGTCCATCAAAAGTGAAAAAATAACGATGAAATGGTGTTGGTCATTCAATAATAAAATAATGAGCAATTTACTTGCGCCCAAATGTTCTATAAGCTTGAACAAGCCATTTAAATTTAGGTCGATTTTGTTAGTAAGTCCGAAGTGGAAGTAAATTAGGACGTAATCAATACTGACATATTGTTCCAATGTTTTAGTAATATACCTAAAATAGTAATTATATATACATGGAAAATTAACATGGATTATTAGAATAAGTTCAGGTATACACGAATAAGTAAATTGCTTTACATTCAAAGTTTTAGAAGGTAACAAGAATAATAATCCAATATTAAGAGAATTACCACACATTAGAAACAAAGTTGTACACAGACTGAATGTTAATATTATGGATAGATTATCCCACAAGTACTGAGATACTCATGTAGTGTAGGCTACTTATGTTGACAGATATAAGTGGTACGTACCACCAATCGGAAGTTGACTGTCTGCCAGCAGAAGGTTAAGAAAATTGAAATGAAGAAAAGAGAGAAGGAAACTGAAAGCAATCAAGATAACAACAGGAATGAAGGAACAACGAAGCTTGTAAGAGACAGTTCAAAGATGTGCAAATGATGTACGATTTCCACATTTTACTAAACCGCTGTGCGATTGAGCATTAAACAATAAATTAGTTTTCTCCACCTGAGTTCTCGTTCACTACACTCATAAGCAGTTTATATTGATCAACAGGGGTTAACTGATCAGGCCTAGTAAACTAACAAAGGCAAATTACCGGTTATTCCAAAGTTTAATATGCACTGTAGTCAGGTCAGTCATATCCAGTGTAAAGCTTGACAATTATGTAAGTTGTGTAGTGAATGAAGGTTTGCTGGGGAAGACAAATCTATTATTTTATGCGGTTACACATTCCCTTTGTAAAATATGAAAATCATACATCAAATACACCATCTGTACACCTTCCTTGAGTTGTCTTTATACATTCCATCATTCTTCTAATTCTGTCACTATTCTGATTGCTCTCCATTTTCGTTCCTGTTCTCTTTACTTCAATCTTCTGCTAGTAAGCATTCCTACTACATACTTATATCTGTCCACATAAGTAGCGCACACCACACTCGTCTCCCTTTGATAAGTCTCTCTTACAGTTGTACGCTCGCCGTGCCGCTTTCTTTTTCATCAGTCTGTGACTCACTTCTCGTCGAAATATCGAGCGCGCTGGCGTGCTGAATTCCGTAGCTGTCGACCTGCTGAACCATCTAAGTCCGAGCATTCGGGACGTCCAACGCCTCCTCTTCATTGGACAGCGATTGCTATGAAAGTTCTTTCAAACTACCCTTCTCAATTTAGCTATGAACAAGACCCTGGGTGAATGATAATCGTGATAATTGTATATGTGTACTCGATTCTCGAGACACAGTTTTACCCAATTACTAATAGAAAATCAGTGTTATTATTTCTCCGAAAGTCACAAGACACGCGCTTTATTTGACAAAAGAATTTGACTAGTTTTTAACCAATGTAGCGCATTTTAACTGAACACAGAAATTTGTGTACTTAGCCTTCGATCATAATCAGTGTGTGTTATAGATACTCTCGGCTATTAAAAACCACAAATAACTGTAATGTAGTCCAAACTCAGCATTCGATAGTTGATATTCGAGTTGAGCCACACAACGTTATTTTATAAAAATGTTTTTCAAGCTCTAAAATAATTTATGGGAACTAATCAAGTTATTGATCTTTTTGAAAGTCATAAACTTTTCCGAACAATAATTGGTCAAAAACTGAAAGAATCCGCTGCCTAAATCACAGTTTTATGCTCATTGTAATTGGATTCCTGATAAGTTTATCATATGTAACGATAGTGCTTTTCCGTTAATGAAAAACCTAACCGATCAAATTCATTATATAGAATCATTAAAGTCCGTATTGATTCATACAAATAAAACAGTCTGTTAATGCACATACTTCTCTCACACACACGTAACTACATTAACAAAAGCAATGGTTTGAAAGCCTAACAAAAATTTGGTTGAAAACTGCACGTCTTATTTTAGAATGTCTGCCTCAAACAAGGTAGTGGTCTATTGTGTTGAACTATTTACTTTGAACAAATATTTAACTTAGTATCTGATGGACAACAAAGGTATTTACAATATTCTAGTCACAAAAATAAACAAATAAAATGGGTTCCACATAAGTTTTAAAAAAGTAAAAAAAATCTTTAAAAACGAAGGAATTTCTAAAGATCGGTCACAGGGAATAAAAGCGGCAGTGACTTCGTGGTTAAGAAACGAGACTTCTGACGATATAAATGTATCTGGGTCCTGTATGAGTTTCATAGACACAGAACAAAGAGACGAGATTTTAAAGTCCTGGACAATAGATTGCGTTCCCCGGTTCGACAAAAGATTCGAACACTGTTAGCAGTGCGGCTTTGGAGAACCAAGAATAACATCCCCTGAACTCTAATTACTAGAATTAGTAAGGTATAGAAAATGAGATGAAGCAATAGAGGACGGACTAAGTGTAGGAAGAGAAGAAGTATAAGGAAATGAAGAGGGGATTTGATTGTGGATAGGAATTGTGGCTAGGAATACCTCAGGTTATCGAGCTTTCTGTTAATAAATGATAACCCTTACGTAAGAGGAAAACCATGATAACATTCCCCAATTCATATTTCCATAATGATGGTTGTTACTATTTGATCAGTTGTTCTTACTGATAGTTGGTAATTTTACTGTGTCCTAATTTCATGTTTTATTGTTACATACAGAGTCTTTATACTTTGATACTGTCTTCTTAAATATCAAGTTTCTCAAAAACCATACTTCCGTTCACATCTTACAGTAAAGTCAGTAGTACGATTTCGTCATCAGACAGTAAGTTGCAACACTTAGTTTTACCTCCTTTTAATCGACTCCCATATAATGGTAGGACCGATGATTCCAGTTAATATAGCTAGATCATTATAAGCAGATCCGAATATAACATCAAGAGAACAACGACGGTAACTTACTTGTATAAAACGAGTAAGCCAATCAGCAGTAGTGCATCGATAGGTTTAGCGTCAATTAGGGAAAAAGTAGTTGGCAGATTATAATTGTAGAAAATGTATAGAATTATTTTTTCAAACAGATCCTAATACATACATAACACTGTTCGATTTAGTCTTCCCCAGGAAAAACGATAAATTACGGATTTGTGTGAGAAGAATGATGCTATTTCAGAGATGTAAACTGCACAAAATAGTAAATAGTCATCATTTACTAAAAAAGTTGAGCGGTTAACCAAAATTCATCTTTCCCTTCAATGCTACATCTTAACAAGTTAACTAACTGGTTAATTAATTGACTCATTCGTCAGATACTTGGGTATGAGTCACACTGGAAGTGTGAGGGTTAATGATGCTACCTGTTTTCTCAAAAAGAAGCAGGTGGTGCGGGATTCGAAACCGCAACATAATGGCTAAAAGTTGAACGCCTTTACTACAGAGCCATGGACAGTGAGTAGCGTTGAGCTTTTACAGACTGATTCATTTAATTCCAGGTTCATCAAATAATCATGACTTACATTAGAAGATGTTGATGATCAATTAAATCAGCTGCTGGTAGACGACAAGCTGAGAAAACAATTATTTTACGACCGAGTTTATCATCTCCTGCACCTTGTAACACACCCAGCCGAGAAATATCTGGATAATCAGAATCAATTACATCTTGAACACTGAGCTCCTATAAGTAAAAGAAGAGTAAAAGTTTCAACATGCTACGATAAAAATAATTACTTTAGAACATTGATTTTTCTGGAAAAAAAGTAGCTTGAGCAAAATACAATAAGTATATAAAATGGACAACATATTATCGTAAAACTAGTTGTATAATATTTGGTGATAATACCTCAATGAACTTGATCACTTAAATTTATTAGAAGTATAAAAATTCCCTGATCAGTCAGTAACCTATAGTTGAAAGATTAAAAATACAGTCGTGGTGGAATATGGCGAAACTAATCGAGACATTTATGGGTTAAAAGAAAGGATACTGTAGTGAACAGGAACACGAGTGAGGACAATCGAATGTATTTGACAGAAAGTTACAGAACATGTTAACAAAACCTAACAATCATATTTTACTTATGCCTGTTACTCCTCGTGAAGAAACATAGGCCACTCACCAGCATTCGCCATCCAACCATGTACTGGGCAATCCTTTCTAGCTCCTTCCAGTTGTTATTCATCCTTTCCATATCTGCTTTTATTTCCCGACGTAATGTGTTCTTCGGCCTCCCTCTTTTCCTCCTTCCTTCACGATTCCAAGTTAGGGCTTGTCTCGTGGTGCAGTTTGACGATTTGCGTAATGTATGTCCTATCCATTTCCATCGTCTTTTCCTAATTTACTCTTCAGCTGGAAGCTGGCTTGTTCTCTTCCACAGAAGGCTGTTGCTGATGGTATCCGGCCAATGGATGTTGAGTATCTTGCGTAGACAACTATTTATAAATACCTGTAAATTCTTGATGATGGTTGCAGCAGTTCTCCAACTTTTAGCTCCGTACAGTGGAACTGCCTTGACGTTCGTATTGAAGATTCTGACTTTGATATTGGTTGAAAGTTGTTTTGAGTTCCATATGTTCTTCAATTGTAGGAATGTGGCCCTTGCTTTGCCAATCCTCACCTTTACGTCTGCATCTGATTCTCCTTGTCCATCGATGATGCTTCCCAGGTACGTGAACGATTCTACATATTCCAGAGTTTCGCCATCACGTATGATTGGATTGGTGTTCCCCGTGTTGTATTTGAGGACCTCGGTTTTCCCCTTGTGTATGTTGAGGCCTACTGATGCAGAGACTGCTGCTACACTGGCTGTCTTCAACTGCATTTGTTCGTGTGCATGGGATAGGAGGGCTAGGTCACCTGTGATGTCCAAATCGTCTAGTTGGTCCTGAGCTGTCCATTGTAAGCCGTTTTTTTCGCTTAGATCTCGAGGTCTTCATAATCCAGTCGACCACTAGAAGAAAGAGGGAGGGGGAGAGTATACAGCCTTATCTGACTCCGGTCCTTAATTGGTATGCATCTGTCAGCTGTTCTCCATGCACGACTTTGCACTGTAGTCTGTCGTATGAGTTCCGAATAATGCTGACAATCTTTTCAGGAACTCCATAATGTCGAGGAAGTTTCCATAATGTTCTCCTATCCACAGTGTCAAAGGTCTTTTCATAATCGATGAAGTTGATGTATAGTGACGAGTTCCACTCAACTGATTGTTCGACGATGATCCGCAGTGTCGCAATTCGGTCTGTGCACGACCGATCCTTACGGAATCCAGCTTGTTGATCTCGATGTTGGGCGTCTACTACGTCTTTCATCCGGTTCAGCAACACTCTGTTAAAGAATTTCCCTAGTACTGACAGTAGTGTAATGACTCTGTAGTTTTCACATTTGCTCAGGTCTCCTTTCTTTGGAATCTTGATGAGGTGTCCTTCTTTCCAGTCCATCGGCACTTGTTCCTCCTTCCAAATCTTTTTAAATAGAAGGTGAAGCATCATGTAGTTACTTCGATTTCTGACTTCAGTGCTTCAGCTGGTATATTGTCGGGTCCTGCTAATAATCACATAGTAATACTTGATTTGCAAAATGTCCATCAATCGTCTTAAAATGAATCAGACTTCCTTGTTCTTGCATTTTCATACAAATTGCATTCTGTCTCTATTCTTTACAGATCGATCCTCTTGTCTCTCTGCTGCCAGACATTCTGTTCCTGACTGACGTCATAAACTACTTATGTCGATATAAGTAGCACACACACCACAATACTACTAATTTCCAGGTCATATTGAAGTTGGCATGCATCCTGTGTTTCATTGGCTGAGTACTTACAATTGGTTGATCAATAAGCAATTTGAATGAGCCCACTATAATTGGAAGTCGCACTACTTCAAAGAACCATGGAATGTGACTGAATTTAGTACTGTTAAATAAGAGTACAAATATGAGTGAGGTTAGTTTACCTGTGTCAATCATATTGGCAAAGGAAGCCACTCAAGATACATCATCTTTTAGTCATCCTAAGAATAATACTAATACAAATGCTTATCACTGTACACTAGGTAGTGAGGAACACTTGAAAGACCATGCTATTTGTATTGTGAATATGGTCATCAAATGCCCTAGTACGGCCGAGAGTGTAGAGCGTCAGCTCTCCATCTCGAAATGCTCTCAAGTGGTCACGTGTATACAACCAGCTAGGGAAGTCCTACTCACTGCCTTCCCGTGGTGGGGGTGTTGTTTACCAAATTGAGAGAATGAAAACCGAATGTCCGGCGCTTGAACCAGGTTTGGTGGATAAGGAGGGTCCACTTAGGGTAGTTGGAGAACCCCGATTCCAAACCAATAGTGAACATGAGCTCCAGAATCCTGAGAGAACAAGTGGCGTACGAACCAATCATTGGTCACCGGCTACCATGTGACTGCATCTGCTGACGTTGCTCCACTGCCTTGTGGATTAGATCTTTAGGTCGAAGGCTCCGGGTGTGGCCTCCTAAGAAAACCACCTGCTTCTGTTTGAGCAATCGTGCAGTATTCTAGCCCTCACACAAATCGAATATTTTATGTGGCGCATATCTATTTGGTGTCTCCTTGTACCAATGTTTATGTGTATCAATTATTAAATAAACTGTGAATATGTGTGAGTCAAAATCTCTGCATGTATATTTTCCAAACGACAGTAAAATTTTGCATTTCTCTGAATATAAAATAAACATACCCAACCATTCATTTTCTGTGCACAATGTTGAAGTTCTTGGTAGTTTCTACTTGAACAATTATGTTAAATAAATAATTAATTATTTATTTGAACAGAAAAACATTGGTACAAAGGGGCATCAGATACATATGCGCCATACAATAATAATGAGAATGTAAAGATATAAAGAATGTAAGGTGAGTATAAGTAAAAAGAAGTACAACAATGAACAGAATTTGTGTATGATACTGAAATAACAATAATGAGAGGGGCAGTTCAATTAGTAAAAGTACAACCACAAATAATTCTTCCGCTTAAAGAGGTGACGTCTTTTTTATGGAGAAAGTAAAAAAGCTACAGCAGGACCGCCACTGGCTTCTATTCTGAGCCATATCTGATAACGTCTCTAGCCACTGTGTAGCACCATCTCTCAGACCCCAACCAGGGAGTCATGAAGAACCAACAGAAGCCAGTCACGCACAACTTTCTTTCATGCCACGACACCATGTCATACACTGACCACCTCTCCGCTTCTTCCAACCAGTCCCAGAGTCGGCAAATAATGCACGACGTGGAATTCTCTGGGACGACATTCGGAGAACATGTCCAAGCCACAGAAGTCGATGTTTCAAGATAGTGACACCAACTGAATTATCGTCTCTGTGCCCGAACACACGATGCTGAACCTCTGCATTACTAACATAGTGTTGCCACTGGATGTCAGCAATCCTTCGGAGACAACAATGATCAAACACAGAGTCGTCTAACGTCCTCAACTCGGAGAGGCCAGGTTTGACAAGCATAGAGCAAAACTGCTCTCACCGACGCGTTGTAGATCCGACCTTTTACAGCCAGAATAACATCACGAAGGCGCCAAAAATGGCCCAGATTGGCAGAAGCCGCTCTGGCTTTCACTATATGTGAATTGATCTCACCACTCACGCCACCACCAGCACTTAAGCAGCTACCCAGATACACGAACTACTCGACTACTTCTATCCGCTCACTACCCAGGGGGAGTGCAGGATCAGGGTCCTGCCAATCTTGTAAAAGTACTTTGCACTTCGAAGGTGCAAAGCTGATACCATCCCTACGGACACTGATTGCCAACTGATTAAGTGCGGATTGCATGGCTTGGGTATTATCGCACAGTAAGACAATATCATCCGCACACTCAAGGTCGAGGAGTCTTTACTCGAGCAACAGATCCACACCACCATTACTTACATCCATCAGAGCTGTTCCCAGAACGTCGTCGATAGCAAAGTTGAAGAGGAATGGTGAGATTGGGCAACCCTGCCTAACCCTACTACTCGAATGGAACAATGGAGAGAGGTGGTTGTATGCCCTCACTCTGCCTGAGGTGTTTTTTATATAGGGCTTTTAGGATGTTAATAAACTTCTCAGGCACACCCTTCTTCAATAGACAATCCCAGAGAACAGTCCTGTCCAACGAATCGAAGGCAGCCCTGATGTCAAGAAACACTACGATTGTTGGCCTTTGATAAGTATGGCGATGTTCTAACATTTGGCGGAGGGTGAAGATATGATCAATATATCCTCGACCAGAACGAAACCCAGCCTGCTCCTCGCGAGTCAATCTTTCTCGGGTTTTGAACAACCTACGGAGAATGACGGAAGCCAATAGCTTGAACGCAATCGGAAGTAGACTTATCCCCAGTATCCTGTGGGAACAAATGGCGTATGAACCAATCTTTGGTCACCGGCTACCATGGGACTGCATCTCCTTACGATGCTCCACTGCCTTGTGGGTTAGACCTTTAGGTCAAAGGCTCGGGGAGTGGCCCCCTAAGATAACCACCTGCTTCGGTTTGGGCACCCGGGCAGTATCACAGCCCACACACAAACGATGAACTCTATGTCTATGGCAACTGCATATCTCGCTCCGAAAAACAATCAATCGATTCAAATAATTATCATTACTATTATTGTCATTATTATTATTATTATTATTATCTTATTATTATTATTA